TTTGGAATGTATATATTACTTGATATTATATTAACATAAAATGGTCCTTTTTTACTTAACAATAAAATTTCATGGAATAAAATGTCATACAATAAATTTCCAAGAAAACAGTCAATTGTTCGAGCCAATAATCAATCTAGAAGTTTGGTTTGAATTCATATCAATAGATAGAATTAGTTAAACTCATACTTGAAATATGGGGAATAAAAAAAAAAAAAAGAGAGAGATGCTATGAAGATTCTAATAATGCTAATTATATTTGCACCATATTTTTTAATAATTAGACTATATTTTAATTGCATGAAAGGTTCATAACTTTTACACATTATCATACTTATGTCTTGCACTTTTTTCGTCTCATTCTTATCTCAAATTAACATAGCTTATTTCGAATTATGGTTTCTCTCCAAATTTTTATTTAAAATAGATTAAAGAAACTCATTTGTCCATTATACTTTTAAATAAATAAAATAAATAATAACGCAAAAGCGATTATATATTGATCCCCGCTTTAAAGCACGTTAACTGTATTTTAAAACAAAAATCATGATTAAGGACAAAAGTTTCTGATTAGAAATAAAAATGTGATGAAGAAAAAATTAAAATTACAAGCATGATAATGAATAAAGGTTAACGATTTTTAATGAAATTTGTGGTGTGAATACAATAATCCTTATAATAATTGTAAACTGAGAATGTAGAAATTTGTGGAAAAAAAAAAAGATGTGAATTATATAGAAAAAAATATGACCCTTTTTCTGAAGACGGTTGGCCCAGCTGTGAAACCACAAGCTTGCTCGTGAACTTGACCCAACAAGATCAGTATGAGTTGACTCATAATTTCACAAATCGAATTGACCCATTCTATTCGTGAAAAATAAATTATATTCGATTCGATTCGAGACTCTAGACCGGTTTGTGACCCTAATCAAATGGCACCCTAACTCCGTCGTTTCTCAGATCAAATCGAACGCTCAAATTCTTCCGGAACCCAATTCTCCATTTACCTTTTCCGGACCCCTCTCTCTACAAGGTTGCAGCATATATAGGGAGAGAAAAACGGCCTCCATCACACCTCGGCCCCCAGCTCACCTAATAATCTCTCCTACGTACAAAATAATCTGCTCAATCAAGTTCAGATCTCGCTTTTAAGCATTTTCAGTCGTGTATTTTTACACAGATCCATTATTAATTTTCCTTTGTTCGACGCAGATCGAGGTTACTTTGACTGCAGAAGGTATAAATCCCGAAACTTTTTAAACGGGTTCTCAGTTTTTTAGTTATATGTGTTTTCATGTGGGTTGCTGAAATTTTTGTATATCAAGATGGAGCTGATCTAAATTTTTTATGGGTATGAGGTTTTTTTGCTAACTGGGTTTTTCAAATTTTGAAGATAAGCTGAAGGTATGGCACCGAGCACAATTCGGAAGGCGATCGGGGCGGTGAAGGACCAAACAAGCATCGGGATTGCCAAGGTGGCTAGCAACTTGGCGCCGGAGCTCGAAGTTGCCGTAGTGAAGGCCACGAGCCACGACGATGACCCTGCATCAGAGAAATACATCAGGGAGATTCTGCAATTGACATCGTATTCTCGCGGATACGTGAATGCTTGTGTGTCTTTGATATCTAAAAGACTTGGAAAAACCCGGGATTGGATAGTTGCCCTTAAGTGTTTGATGCTTGTTCATCGTTTGCTTAATGATGGAGATGCTATTTTCCAGCAGGAGATCATGTACGCTACAAGAAGGGGTACTAGGTTGTTGAATTTATCGGATTTCCGTGATGAGGCTCATTCGAATTCATGGGACCACTCGGCTTTTGTGAGGACTTATGCTTTGTACTTGGATCAGAGGCTTGACTTGATAGCATTTGATCGGAAACAGAGTGGAAATGGCGGTGAAATTGAGAAAATTGGGTCCAGAGACGAGAGGTTTAATTATAGATCGCCTCCGGGCTCAAATAGGGGCTATGATTATGATTATAACGAGTTTCGGGACGAGCCAGGGTATGGGATGAGAAGATCAAGATCATCTGGGGACGTGAGGGAGTCCACAGAGGTGGGGAAAGATGTGACTCCGTTGAGGGAAATGAAGCCTGAAAGGATTTTCGGAAGGATGGGTCATTTAAAGAGTCTTTTGGATCGGTTTTTGTCGTGTCGGCCTACTGGTTTGGCCAAGAATGAGAGAATGATTCTGGTGACTTTGTATTCTATTGTGAAGGAGAGTTTTAAGTTGTATGCTGATGTTTGTGAGGTTTTGGCTGTGCTTCTGGACAAGTTTTTTGATATGGAGTATCAGGATTGTGTTAAGGCTTTTGATGCCTATGCTATTGCTGCTAAACAGATTGATGAGCTATCGGGTTTTTATGGCTGGTGCAAGGATATAGGTGTGGCGAGGTCGTCGGAATACCCAGAAGTGCAGAGGATTACTAGTAAGTTGTTGGAGACTTTGGAAGAGTTTGTGAGGGATAGGGCTAAGGTTACAAAGAGTCCGGAGAGGATTGTGGAGAGCCAACCAGTGGTGGAGGAGGAGCCGGTACCAGATATGAATGAGATTAAGGCGTTGCCGCCTCCAGAGAATTATTCCCCTCCACCACCACCTGAGCCGGAGCCTCCTAAGCCTGTAATTCAGGAGAGTGGCGATTTGGTGGATTTGAGGGATGAAGGAGCGACAGCAGATGATCAAGGAAATAAGTTCGCTTTGGCATTGTTTGCAGGGCCAGTGGCAAACAATGGGAATGGTTCCTGGGAAGCATTCCCATCCAATGGGGAGCCGGAGGTGGTTTCTGCTTGGCAGAATCCTGCTGCTGAAAGCGGTAAGGTTGATTGGGAACTGGCCTTGGTGGAGACTGCAAGTCATTTGTCTAAGCAGAAGGCGGCAATGGGTGGTGGGCTCGATCCTTTGTTGTTGAATGGGATGTATGATCAGGGAATGGTTAGGCAACATGTGAGCACTGCCCAACTGAGTGGTGGCAGTGCCAGCAGTGTGGCATTGCCAGGGCCAGGGAAGAGTACAACTCCTGTGTTGGCACTCCCTGCACCAGATGGTACAGTTCAGACGGTTGGACAAGATCCATTTGCTGCATCTTTGAACATTCCTCCACCTTCATATGTGCAAATGGTAGATATGGAAAAGAAGCAGCACTTACTAGCGCAGGAGCAGGTGGTATGGCAACAGTATGCCCAACAAGGCATGCAAGGCCAAGCTTCTTTGACCAAGATCAATGCTGGTGGATACTATGCTCCTGGCGTACAACCCATGATGTCTTATGGAATGCCACCAGTAAATGGAGTGGGACTACCCCCTACCGGGTATTACTCCACTCCTCACTAATATTTATCTATGTAAAATCTTTCCATACGTTAGTTTATTTTTGTTACGTTTTCTTATTTTTCCACTGTATTTTATGTGATCTTATCTTACAATTGGTGCATGAGAATGGAATGGAAAGAGGGTGTGATGGAAAGAGAAACTGAGCGAAAGATATTGGTTGTGTGGTGGATTTTGAAGCCTTGTGCTCTGCAATTCTCTTGTTATGTCTCTTACTCTGTGTAATATCATGTGGAACTTTTTTGACATCTTTATGATAATGCAATGCTTGTTGTTTGTTATTGACTCTGTTAAATTCAAGGAACTCATGTCCTAAATGTTTATGTTGATAAATGATGCTATCTCTATACCCCATTTAAAACAATACTGCTTTGCTGTCTTCATTGTGGATCATTGTTGGAAACACGCTTACTTTGAATGCAGGTATCTGTTTTTCGAACTGGAGTTTAGGCTTTATTGAGGATGTTTTTGAAACAAACTTTTAAAATTGTAAGCTGAATAGATAGCTTTGGTGTTCTTTGATTCTCCTAAGATCTCTTCTTCAATATTTGCTTTTCGTCATTTTTATAAAAATCCAAGTAAAGATCGACTGGAACAAGCTACATGGGTATTGTAAAGTAAGGTTGATGAAGGGGAAAATGGAGATAACTAGAGAAAGTATATCCATCTGGCCATCTCTAGGGAGCGTGTATTGCAAGCAAGCGCGTTTGAGAGCCCATGGTTAGTTATCATAAATTACATTGCTCGGTGGGAAGTGACTCAACTATTAGACAATTAACCTCAATTGAAACTAGTCTGATACAAAGCCGAAGAAGAATAAAATTTTAGTTCTGAAAATGACCTTGCCCTGATTCTCTTTATAGCCGATGAGTACTATAATTTCTTTGAGTGCTTAGTTATCTTGTATTATATTGCTTGATAGAGAGTAGTAAACTGTTAGACAATTCCAATAGAAAAGTTCCAATACAAAGCTGATGTATGATACGATTTTAGCACTGAAAGGGACCTATAGTTGCTTATTGCGTTAAATGACAGAATTTTGTTGTCTCTTGGCATGATTCACCGTAGTTATCCAAATTTGGTGTCATTGTAAACCTTAGAACCCAGAAGACAAGTATGTTTGGTTGGGCTTAAAAATTACTTTTTCCAGCATTCGAGAATAAGTTAAGATTTGCTTTACATAAAAAGTAAGTATTGTTAGGAAAGAAACTAACTTTGAAAATCATATTATTCTAAAATAAGTAAATTAGAAGTAATTCTGAATTTTTTTAGCATAACCGACCATGCTCTACGGTGGAGATATGGAAGTTTTCAAGCATATGTAGGTGAAGACAAAGAGAACCTTCCATATTCTTGAACCTTTTCACTTTTTGTATTGTCTTGTTCTTGAATCAGGTAGCTTTTGTCAAGTTAGGAATAAAGAGCCCAATGGTTTCCCCCCTCCTAAGTATTTGTTGACTTCACAAATAATGGAGTTGCTCTCGTGTCAAATTTTTTATTATATAAAAAAAATAAAAAAATTCCCAATAAATCGAATCCAACAATACAGGCAATATTCTTTTATAATCACTTGAAAAAGTTGTCAAGTTTCAGCTATTGATAATTAGATGGTAGGGATGTCAAGAGCCGAGTTGAGCAGAGCCAAAGTTCAAGCTCGATTCGAGTAAAAATGGTTTGAATTTTTTTTGGCTCGAGCTTAGCTGAGCCTGCCAAAAAATTTAGACTCGACCCGAGCTTTCAGCTCGAGCCTTAGTGAGCCGAATTGGCTCGAATTTTTTTTTTTTTAATTCGTTATAAATCTAAATTTTTTTATTAATGAATACATATTATGAATAGTAACTGAATATTATCATATAAAAAATACAGTAACATTAATTTTTAAAAAAAAAAAAAAGGGCTTGTCAATTGCAACATGTGAAAATCTGACTCGCTTTCAAAGTCTGAATTAGTTGTTCCAACCACATTGCCAGTTGCCCCCAGCTTCTATCCATTTCACTATTGTTGGAAAATTTAATGTAGCATCACATCATAGTCACATTGTGTGGCAGACGATGGTTGGATTTTTTTTTTTTTTTTAACTATCAAATCAATTGTTGACGTGTCATTAATCCCTCGTTAGATGCCTCGAAGCTTCGGGCTTAGACGCTATTTGTGAAGTTGTTTGTGCTATCAAATAGTTTAATTACAATGAAGATTCTCATTTTTTATACGTATGTCTAACTTCTTCGGTGCATTCTTATTCGTAACTTTCAATTAAATTAGCACATATTATCGCTTATGACGATTTTTGTTTAAATATTTTGCTAACATACAATGAAATGAATGGGAAATATTTTGTCAAATTTCTATATTTGTTATTTATTTTGCTTATGTAAAATGGAGAGAGGTGTTTCTTTTTACTCTTACTAACAATTTGTTTTTATCCTGATGGAAACCTTCATAGATGAGATGAGGAAATTATGCTACAAAAAATATTGGGGACATAAGTGCAAATATTAGCAAAGGTTGAGGACGTTTGTTGCAATTAAAATATGGTGTAAATAACAAAAATTATGATTTTTTTTTTTTATGTCCAAAAATTATGAATATTTATCCTTCTCCATTATCAATAATTAAATCACCAATTTTAACCCTCAATAATCAAATTAATTCTTGTTTATGGACTACGCTTTTTTTTAAAAAAAATATAATTTTATAAATTTAAGATTTAATAAATATAGAATTTTAATTTTAAAATAACTACAACTTTCTTAGAAAAATATTTGAAAATATTACATATTTTTATTAAAGTAAACATTATTTTGTAAAATTAATAATAATAACAACAACAATAATATTACAAATGAACAACATTATAATAAACGTCTATTTTAGTAATTATATATCGGCACATCAGTAATCATTGTTGTTTATCACGCGAAAATGCTGATTCCGATGAGATGGAAGAGAACGGTGGCTTAAAATGGTCAAATCGATTTCCCGAAAAGACACTAGATGTTGTCGGGTCAATTTTGAGGTGCTTTTGCAGGATGTGTGTGAGATTACTTTCGGTCGGATCGAGTTGTTGAGTTATTGTGTTGGCTTGGAGTCGTTTGGGTGAAACATAGTTAAATAGAGAATGTCACGTTAGATCTCCTTTGTGTCGGGTGGGCACGAGACAAAGAACGAGGTTGAAAGGAAAACAAGGATCACTTTGGACAAAAGAAGAATACAAGTACACATAAATAACTCATAGATTTACAAGTATATGTGCTTTTTACAATGACAATGATTTTGGGGTGGGAAAAAGGAATTGGTGGTGTTGGTTGTTGGAGATAAAGATGGTAGTGATAGATTTTTGGAGATGTAGGTAGAGTCGAGGGCAAATTCGGACATTTTGAATTGTGGGATCAAAAATTAAAATACATTTAAAAAAAAAAAAACAACACATCATTAACGAAACCACAGATTTTCGTTTAAAATATATCTTCATAATTGTTACAAAATCAAATTCAATAAATAAATAAATACCTTATTTCATTTTTCATCAAAAGACAATGTAATGAACTTGAAATTGAGAGAATGAAGTCTTAACTCGAAATTGATAATAATTTCTTTTGATCAAGTAACCTATATTTCCCTTGTCCACAATCAACTGCCTAAGATAAAAGAATATTCAATAACACATTTGCACCCTGTTTGAGCCACATTATTCTTTCAAGAATGCATTTTAAATAGTGTTTTGATGGAAATATGTGGTTAAAAAATAAAGAAAAATTTTGAATTTACGTGTAATATTATTTTATTAAAGAATGTGTGGTTGAAAATAAGAAATAGAAAAATGTATTTTAGAAAAATGGATATCAAACATGAGGTTAACACTACAAAGTACAATCTTGCCATTTGCCATTTCAAAATTATGACTTCATAATCAGTCAGCATTAGAAATTAGAATAAGTTGTTAATAGGCTAATAGTTCCTTCCTTCTTAATTGATTGGATTAGGTCCAATTCCTCTTAAGACATCAACACTAAACCTAAACAAATAAAAATCGAAACCAAGCGAAGCTAACCAAGGAGTCGATGACCAATCTCCTAAAATCATTTAAACAATATGAACATTATTAGGTTTTTATGTGTCATGATTTATCAAAACTTTTAGACAAGAATCAAAAGATAATAAGCGATGGGGTCGACAATAATTTTCAAATTCGAGTGAATTTTAGAATAAAAATATGTAAAATCAAGCAAGTAGGTGGTCGATTTGTTACCTGGACCTAAAAAACTACAAAATTACGACACAAAACACAAGTAGAAGTGGTAAAATAACAATGTCAATATCGACAATAGAGTTTTTTTTTTTTTAAATTTACTTTCAATCACACATTCTTTCATTACACGTGAAATCACAATTTTTTCCTTACTTTTAACTATATACATTCTTTAAATATCACTTTTGACAAAATTTATTCTAAAAAAATCTACATCAAACAAACCATTGCTACTGGTTCAAATCTATATAGAAATCTTTCATGTTTTTCCCTTTAATAGTAATAATTATACAATTTCTTGAAAAACAAACATATTTTCAAGTTTATCAAATAAAATTTTAGAGATACAAACTTGCAATGAGAATTTGAAACATTTTTCTGAATGTTTGCTTTCTGCCCCCTCAGAAAAGTACTAAATATTTCTTAGGTACAACCTGCGAACTCAATTTCACAAATAAATCTTTCACTCCATCAAGTGTCATTTCTTATTATCTCCAAACGTTGCACAGACTCCATAAATGATCTGCAAAATTATTACATGCAAATAAATTAGAATAATATAATTCGTTTAATTATAGACAAATAATTTATTTCCACCGTAAAACATAAATAATTAATAATTAATTTTGTCTTTCCACTAATAGCTTAAACTTTAAAATGAAGACTCTTGAAGACTTTTATAAACATTTTTTAAGCAATTGATTTTTGTGTAATTCGTGAACTTTTACAGTTTCGTATAGAATTAATGGAAGTCTTTCATAAACTTCTGTAAATTTTTATTTAAAAACTTTTATAGATTTTTATAGAATTCATTTGTTTTTTGAAAACTTTCACTTGAATCTAACGACACAGTGAAAAATGCAAACATAGGATGTGGATTTTCGATTCTCTGTCCCCACCCTATCCCATGTAATAAAAAATAGTTTTAAAAAAATAAAGTCAACCTAATTAGATAAATAAATAATCAAAATGTAAAATATGTATTTAATATTTCAATATTCTTTGATAAAAGAAATAAAGAAATATATAATGTTCAAAAATATCAATACGTCAAACCTTCAAAAAGTAAACAACCAATTAGTATGTTTAAAATATAATTACAAATTGATCTTTTACATAAAAAATGGGATGGAAAACGAAAAAAAATGTTATGAGAATTTTTTAGTTACAATTTAACATTTTTTTCGTAGAAAATAAGGAGAAATGACGAG